AAGTGTCAGCATCTGAGGTGATACTTACTTGCACCCTCAGACAACCAGGACATAGTCTAATTCACAGAGTGGAAAATTCAGATATAATAACTCAAGGTCAGTCCATGCCAGAAGCCTCTAAATTTTCCTTGGCCCTGTCTCAAACCCAAAGACATTGTGTAGTATCCTAAATGCCCCTGTGCTGCAGCTGATGGAAAAATAAATTTAAAAAAAAGGTTTCTGTCTTGATATCAGCTTTGTGCTAGTATCAGCCACGATGATCTATGGCAAATTTGTAATTATCACCATAAAATGTACTTGTAAGGCTTCCTTCTGGTCTCTTCCAGTGACTAATCTGCATGGAAGATAGCAGCCTGCTACTGCTGTTGCCTCTGGAGTTGCACAAATATTAGAAAAGCTCAACACTGCTAACAGTTCCAGTTTCAAATAGTTGTGATAATCACAGGGGTATTTAAGGCCTTAGGTTGAACTGTGTTTCTTGGAAATAAATTACATTTGTATGAGTTCATGATTTCTAAGTGAAAATTAACATGGTTTTGCTACATCATAATTTATTCTTGCATTAGCACCTTCTGTAACTATGTCTCACTGTGTTTTTTAATGGATACACTATTCTAAAGGAGAAAATAAATCCATGGAACAAACACACAAGTAATCTAAAGAGCAAGAGCACACACTTCACTTTCTGTATTTCTCTGTAGCTGCAAGGAAAATGGACGGGCTAGTTTAATTAATTATGTTAAATCTCGTTGCAGGCTACAACAGATTTGTATGGCAACTGCACCCTGCGTCACTCAGGAACTTCTGCAGCCGCTCCTGAAGCGGCTGGAGTGTTCGCCTTGGCCCTGGAGGCTAAGTATGCTGTTGAGAAATTCCTTGTGAGCTCTAGAGAGGAGAGGGCCTGTGGTTTGTTGGATGTTGTTCATCGTACAAGTCTGTGGCATAGGCTAGAATGAGTGGCTTAACAAGCTGCCTGCTACAGCGGGGATGTGCTTGGTGACTTACAGGTGGAGCAACCGTCCTGCCAAAGCCATATAAGAGACATGTTTTGGCTGACTCGCTCTCTGTGTCCTCCCTCCATCCACTGCTCCCAGGGTTTTGTCTTTTCCCACACTGTTTGGAGAGTGATTCTTTCATTTCTCCCCATATCCAGTAGGCAATGTCCAGCCTACAAAAGCAAGAACAAACCTATAGTACAAGACAGGAGTTCATCTTGTGCCAGATAATGTCTGTAATGACAGATGCTTAGGGGCAGTTATAACAAACAAGAATTAAGAGTGTCATGACTTGAGCTGGTAGGCAGGTAAATACCACGCAGCCCTCACTCTCTCTCCACCCCTCAGGGATTGGGAGAGGGACTTGGAAAGGTAAAGGGACCTGTGGGTTGAGAGAACAACGTTGTTGTTGTTGTTATTAACTATACAATCAAGTGATGCACAGGGCAACTGTTCACCACTTGCTGAACAGTTCCCAGCCCATCCATGGTTAGTGATCCCAGTGGAGAGAAGCTCTGAAACTGCATTCCCGGAAGAGAGAGAGAGCTTTCCAGCCAACTCTCATCTATATACTGAGCATGATGGTGCCTGGTATGGAGTATCCCATTGGCCAGTTTGGATCTGTCACTCTGGCTATGCTCCCTCCCAGCTTTTGTGCACCCACACACTAGCAAAGCATGGGAAGTTGAAAACTTGATTTCTTAGCAACAACTAAAACCATCAGTGTATTAGCAACATTCTTCTCATACCAAATCCCATACTAAATCTGAAACACAATGCTATTTCAGCTAAGAAGAAAATAAGCTCTATCCCAGCAGAAACCAGTAAAAAGACCAATCTTTCAACAACAGCTTTGGCAGTCAGTGTTTCAGAGAGCAGTCAGCCTATCCTGTTTAATTCTGTTTAATAGCCACAGGCAGATATCTTCCTTGAATTTGTCTCTTTTTCGACTTGTCTGTATTTGACACCTTTATCAACCAGTGGCAGTCAGTTCCAGACTAATAATTGGTTTTGGTGATGGTGGTGGAGAATGTTTTATTTGGGTTTTTTTCTTAACCCATTACTGGTAATTTGCTTCTGTGCTACCTAATTGCTCTGTTATGAAAAAGAATAAACATCCATTGTCTATTTACCATCTCCATGCTATTTGTAACATTGAAGGCTTCTTGTATATCATCTTCTCTAATGATAAAGAAAAGTTTTCCTTACAATAACCTATACCAACTTTTTACTTTGTGTTGAATTATTTTATGAAGCAAGACATTTGCTCAGGTGTACAGCTTCAGTTGCTGTAAGCATGGCATGAAATGTGAGCATTATGTACATAGTTTTCTTCAGAAGAATGAAGATTTAGCAGAGCAAACACAGTTTCTGTCATTAGCAGAGCAATGGTTGCTGTGCTCAGAGCATGACTTGGGACTTGGGCCAAGTCTCATTTTTCAGGTTTTATACATATGAAACACACACCAAGTGTTGAACTTCAGGTGATTAGTCCTTCTACTATCACATACATTCAGGAGGACAGCCACAATGTAATGAAGAACTATAGCCATGAAAATACAAAGGTTTAGTGAGTTTTCTGACAGCTGCATGCTTAACCTGTAGTACAACTTTAGATTCCCAGGAATAATTACTGACCATCTTCATTTGCACTATCCATGAGGTTTGGAATTAATTTTGCCAGACTATCATGAGTAGAAATTAGATTGGTTTGCAGTTGGGTTTGTAGTCTTTGCTGCGATTAAGAGTCAGGGCAGAGGGAGAGAAAATAGAAAGAACTGTCAGTATATCCTGTCTCCTTCCTGGCTGGCTCTATTAAAACTCCATTTTTGTGTGCAGAACTACCCTGGATGAGTACCCAAGCCTTCATGGCAATGGCCAACCATTTCCCATGCAGACAACTGCTACCTGTCAGTTGTCTCTCAGCTCATATACAATATATGTCTGACATGTCTCTAGAAACAAACCAATCTTTGAAATGGAAAGGATGGTTTTAAGATATGTAGCAGCTCTTAACAGGTTTCAGTAAGAATGATGCAAGTGATAATCTGGTTTTCAGCTATCTTGCATCACCTTGGAAGAATGACAGTAATTGGCTATTCTGGTGTGCATTCAACATGCACACATGGTTAGTACTTGGGGCACAGAACTCTGAAAAGCAGATCATTTTTGGTTGGTGGTTTGAATCAGACATATTGTAATGTTGAAAGAGTTCATCATAAAACAACTGGAATGGCTTTAGTTATGTAGAATTAGAATGTCAGCTTTAAAGCTTCCAGAATAATAACTTATGAGTGCCCTTCCTGTCATCATAATCACTGCAAATCTAGGAAGACAAGAGCTGATGATGAAAAATGGTCATAGAATCTAGACAAGCATTACTTAACTGCATCTACCCATGTTAGTATACCATGGGTAAAAAACTCTACCATACCTTATAATTCAAAACTTCAGCCACCCACATAGAACACTGAAAAAACACCTTGATTGTTACAGCTCATCAGCTTCATCAGACTGGGCCTTCTCTGGGTGAATCTTAGAAGGTCCATGGGAAATGCAGGAGGGACAGGCAAGGAAAAGAGAGCAAAATGTAAGAGGAAGGCTAGGCAAAATTCTGTCATCATCCTTTTATTTTTGTATTCTTTTCAGGATCTAGTATAGTATCCTACTCATTTTATTAGCTTAAAAATTGCCTGGTACATCTATACTGTGTAGTTAAGAGCAGTTGTTTTCAACAACAGAGAAACAGAAATTATTTTGTAATTTTGGGGAAGGTACTTTGGGGAAGAACTATACAATTAAAACTATTCTTGTTCCCACTGAAATCAACAGAAGCTTTGTGTATAGATAAAATTTCTGTGTGATTTATTAGAAGCAAATTTTACCAAAAAGCTTACTCAAATGCAATGTCTTTCTTTAATATCTACTTGGAAATACTGTACTGTTTGTTTTCCATGTTGCTTTTCCACAGCTTGGATCTGACCTGGAGAGACATGCAGCACTTGACAGTGCTCACCTCCAAGAGGAACCAGCTTCATGATGAGGTTCATCAATGGCGTAGAAATGGTGTTGGGCTGGAATTCAACCATTTGTTTGGCTACGGTGTCCTAGATGCAGGAGCAATGGTTAAGATGGCAAAAGACTGGAAGACTGTTCCTGAGAGATTCCATTGTGTGGGAGGGTCAATACAGGAACCTGAGTAAGTGAATATTGTATGTTTGGCTCTTTCATAGAATCATAGAATGGTTTGGGTTGGAAAGGACTTTAAGATCATCTAGTTCCAACCCCACTGCATGGGCAGGGACACCTCCCACTAGACAAGGTTGCTCAAAGCCCCATCTATAGGCCTTGAACACTTCCAGGGAGGGGACATGCACAACCTCCCTGGGCAGCCTGTTCCACTGTCTCACCACCCTCACAGGAAAGAATTTCCTCCTAATGTCTAACCTAAATCTACCCTCTTTCAACTTTAAAACCATCACCCCTCATCCTGTCACTACACACCCTGGTAGAAAGTCCCTCCCTGGCTTTCCTGTACTCCACTTTCAGGCATTTAGGAGGCCACAGCATCTGACAAAGACAAAGATAGTCAAAGAAACATAATGATTTTTTATTTATTTTTTTTCCTAAGGAAGCCTAAGATTACCAGCAGCATTCCAACTATTTCAATAAGTTGATAAAATAAACCACATGATGTCTTAGTTCCTGGTTTGCTGTAGGAGTGCATTCTGCAGCTCATCTATATCAGCATTGCTAGTGCCAGTAGTGTTAATAACAACATCCATTTCTCCTGAGTACTTACAGGTATGTCTGTGACAGAGTTTCTGTGAATAAAGAGCCTGTGCTCAACTGAAAATCTGGGTGGCTGGCACTGTAAATTACATGAACTGCTGCCACATGAAATATCTGTCAGTCAGGTCATATCTCCTTGTGACATATTCCAGCAGACAGTTTTATCTCCAGAATACTGAAACAATCATCTACAGGTACCAGTGATTCAGTATGAATACTACAGCATTTAATTGTGCTTGATTTATGTTCTTCAAATCTCTAATTGAAGACTAGGTAGTCAAATTATTTTCTAATTTACCTTCATGTGTTAAAGTTCATGAATCAACAAGTGAATTAATTAATACTAATTGTCTGCAACAGCTATATTTCAATTCAATTATTTGCAATACTAATCTAATAATTGCCAATTTATGTCTATAACATTTGAAAATTGACTTTTCAGTGCCATTTTTGAAGGCATCATTATTCTGTTAGAAAAAGAAAACAAACCAATATACCACCCTGGCACATAGCTCAGCCAGGCAGAATAAGTTTGTTCCCAGCCTCCCAGATGGGTTTGTATTTTCAGGTTCCAAGGTTCTACAGCTGACATCTGAGTTTAAATTTATCTGACCTACACATGTTCACAGGTAGGAAATAAACAAGAGAGTCCTGAAGCTAATTTTGAGCTATCTCTAGTTTATTCTTAATTTAAATGAAGAATCTTAATTAAGAAATAATTGAGGATAAGTCTTATGAGGAGCAGCTGAGGGAGCTGGCATTGTTTAGTCTGGAGAAAAGGAGGCTGACGGAAGACCTTGTTGCTCCCTACAGCTACCTGAAAGGAGGTTGTAGAGAGACAAGTGAAGGTCTCTTCTCACAAGTAAAAAGTGATGGGATGAGAAGAAACAGCCTCAAGTTGTACCAGGTGAGATTTAGGCTGGATATTAGGAAAAATTCCTTCACAGAAAGCGTTGTCAAACAGTGGAACAGGCTGCCCAGGGAAGTGGTGGAGTCACCATCTCTGGATGTGCTTAGAAGTCATGTAGATGTGGTGCTTAGGAACATCGTTTAGCAGTGGACTTGGTAGAGTTAGGTTAATGGTTGGACTTGATGATCTTAAAGGTTGTTTCCAATCTAAATGATTTTGTGATTCTAAATGCAGACAAATAATTTCATTTATCTTGAGATGGGATTCATCTGAGAGGAAGAGAGAAAATGTCTTCCTATAGGCTTGCCTCTGTGTGTTAGACAATGTGGTAAAGGTATTCTGGGAACAGACTGAGCCAGTGTCAGGCAAGTGCTATGTAGCAGTATTGTCTCCTTCTGCCTTTGTTTTTCTGTCCCATGTCTGCTGGTGAATGGATAGAAAAGCCAAGTTGATGCTGTGTTTCCTCCAGCTCAGGCATCTGGAACTGCAGCAAACCTTCCCTGTAGATGTCATTGGGTAAAACATTGTCTGATATTGGTGCCTCTTGAGAGCAGCACCCAGAACAGGCTTTGTGCCTGTTCAGCACCCAATTTATATTGTTCAACCCAGTCAGACCTCACCTAAGTCTCCTCACTCTACTGCAGCATAGTCTCAGTATGTGGTCTGTGTGGGTGCCACCCTGTAATTACCTGAAACATCTGTATGTTAATATGACTGCTGTAATATTTACCTCCTCCAGTGAAAATGTCACTGACAGCAGATAAAAAGCATCAAGACTTGCAACATCTTTTGAATTACACTGTAAATAAAGCTAGTGAAGTCCTAGCATCTCCAGAGATTCCTTGAAAATGAAAACTACACTGCATTTCTGCTGTGGAGAATTGGGTTATTTGTGTAGTTTGGCAACATTTTCTATATATATTCTATGTATGTTTACATAATTATAGATATCTTCAGATATAAAATACATATTCAGGTAGGTGAGTAGTTGATACAAAGGTGTCTACCAGAGCAGCATTGTCAATTAGCAGAAAGAAGCCAGCAAAGAATTGACAGCCGAGAATATACAACATGCTGAAAGTAATCAGTATTTAAAGTGCAGCATTTCTCTGTTGCATGTAGCTGATAAGCAACAGGAACTTTTGTTAGGTCAGCAAAAAGAAAAAAAATAAAAAATGGACAAGTCTGAATCTGGTTAGGGAGATACAAAGATGATTTAGTGCAATCATAGAGTTCATTAGCCGAGGAACAGGAGCACTGGATTTTGCTTCTAGAGAGCAGTTAGCCCCCCCGCCTCCCCACTCTTCTCTAGCTGGATACTACATGCAGCAATTAATCTGGTTTTTTTCATATGTATCTCTATATATAAATTGGGCAGAAACACCCTGTGAGGGTGTAGAAAACCCCTCTCGTCTTCTGCTCCTTTTGTGTCAGGCTTTTCCCACCATCTCTGCTTCTTTCTGTTTCTTTGGGGAAATTCACCTGGTAGTCTAGTAAAGCAGAAGATTGGATCCTAATTAATAGGGAGAAAACAGAGCAAGCCATTTCTCATGTGCTTTGGAGAGCTGAGATGACTTTTGCACCATAGCACTTAGGAAGGTAGAGAGAAAAGTTCCCTGCAGCTGTCAGGCTGTTTGCAAAGCAGATGGAGTGGTAACACTGCTCTTATTTCTTGGGGTTTTGGTGTTGATAGATAAAAAAGATTCTCACTGTGGTGTCCTCCCTCGTTTACTGAGGGAATCAGAAAGCACTTACCACAACTCTCAGTATTTGACAATTAGTGATTTATTAAGCTGTAATACCTGGAGCTCATCTCAGGGAGAATTCCTGGAAGAGAGACTTGAACGAAATGCTTTCACCGATCTCTGAAGAAGGCGCTAACTCATTAGCAAAGTACTAATTTATTTTGGAAAGAAGACATTCATTATACTGCAGTGTGGTCTGTACCCTTTAAAAGGGACTCTCTTCTTTTACTGCAAAACGTGGGTCAGGGACAAGCCACTGGAAGAGGTAATGAGAGGCCAACGAGAGTCTTTTGTGACTTACTCCCTTTTTTAATGACTGCAGTAATTCTTGTATTTCAAGTGTTCCTTTTAAACAGAGAAAAGTGTCACACTGACCACAGCTAGTTGATGGTGAAGACACAGAGACTTTTGTCTACACTTCTAGTGTAGTTTTCTGGCCAGTTTCAAAGGCATCTGGTAATTGTCTCTAGTGTCCTGGCCCCATGGGTTTCAGCAGGCACTGGCAGCCTTGGCTGCTGGCAGGACGCTGATCCTGGGCCAGGTGCCCAGACCCTTGGGCCTGCACTGGGATCCCAAGTGGGACAAGAGAGTGCACAGTGCCTACTGACCTCCTCTGGATACACCTTGCCCAGGACTGAGCTTGTGTTCCTTCTGTGGTCTAGCTGTCTGGTAATGCTAAGGACAGGTATGAGTTTGCCTTCATAAGGGCTGAATTATCACCACCAAGAAACTCATGACTTAAAGGTGCACTTTGGCAACTCGGTAAACAAGTGCCACTTCTCTGCATGTGTGCTTCTGTACACGAGCAGTTCTAGGACAGCTATTTGCTGACAGCAGGATCCTGTGTTTATGTCGGTTTCCAAATCAAAACAAGGATTTAGCCTTTAATGCGACTGCATGGAAATTCAGTGCAGCTGGCTCCTCTGACTCCTAACAGCAGCTGTCTTTTAAGGTGACTGTCTGACATAACTGACTGCTCACGGTTCTTTTACTGAATATACACATTATTATGCAATTACCCAATATAGTAATGGTAAGTCAAGGTAACAACTATTAAATATATATTAATATTTCTTAAAGAGCAGTATGTACTTATTAATTGTACTCCTTCTCTTTCTGTGTAGGTGTACATTTCATAATGTATTTTCAAATTAATGTTTTGATCTAATTTTCTAAAAAACAGTGTGTTCAATTTCTGGCTAAGTTTGCAACTATTATTTCCTTGCTTTTCCATCTATTAATAAGGAAGATAGTTAGGGTTTTTCTGTGAGGCCATTAGCATGCTGTGGATATCCTTTTAATTTGCTTAATTATCTTTTGACCTGCAGGAAGATACCACCAACTGGCAAGCTGGTCCTCACACTTACCACTGATGCTTGTGAGGGGAAGGAAAACTTTGTCCGATACCTTGAACACGTCCAAGCAGTTATAACCGTGAATTCCACCAGGCGAGGAGACCTCAACATCAACATGACCTCGCCCATGGGAACCAAGTCTATTCTACTGAGCCGGCGCCCCAGGGATGACGACTCCAAGGTGGGTTTTGACAAATGGCCGTTCATGACCACACACACTTGGGGAGAAGACCCTCGAGGCACCTGGGCTCTGGAGATTGGGTTTGTCGGCAGCCTGCCCCAGCGGGGTGTGCTGAAGGAGTGGACACTGATGCTGCACGGGACTCAGAGCGCACCGTACATAGACCAAATAGTAAAAGATTATCAGTCCAAACTAGCCATGTCCAAGAAGGAAGAGCTGGAAGAAGAATTAGATGAAGCAGTGGAGAGAAGCTTGAAGAGTATACTGAGCAAGAACTAGTACTGTTCTGCATGACGGTGTCTTTCCTTCCCCAGATCCCTCTACTCACCTTTCTACTATCCAAACCTCTGTGTTAGACATATTACAATGATTGTCTCTGTAGCCAAATTATCACACTTTCTTGATTTTAAAGTCTTATATCTCGTCAATAATTATTTTAATTACCACTGAAGCAATCCTTTTTTACTCTTAAGTCACAAGTATACTGTCCCCCACCAAATACTATGTACAGTTTGTGACTGTAAATTATTTTTCTTTTGTGTCATACAAATAGGTAATAACCTGAAAACAAGTTGATGGCTTTTCCCTTCATATTTTTGTCGTAAATGTTGTTTGTATTTAAAAAAAAAAAAAAAAGTGAATTTTAACTTTGGCAGTTGGTGGTAATGGGCACATTTTTAAAAACTACTGTGAGAGAGGGAATCACAAAGAGGTTGGCTGGAGAGATCTCTGAACTAGACCTTCAGTTCTAACATTCAGACTAACAGCTCCTTCTGCATTATTGGCATCAGTGGGACTTTCCCCATTGGGTTCAACCAAAGTAGCACTAGACCCTACCAAAAAAAAACATAATCCAGAGATGAAAATTGCCAATCCAATTTGCAGAAATCCATTTCTTTAGAGAGTATTAGTGGCCAGTGGGACTTTCCCCATTGGGTTCAACCAAAGTAGCACTAGACCCTACCAAAAAAAACATAATCCAGAGATGAAAATTGCCAATCCAATTTGCAGAAATCCATTTCTTTAGAGAGTTTTCTTTCATATGTACACTTACACAACATACAGGCTAACACTTCAGCCACAGAAGGGTTCAAGGAAGGCTAAGCAATGCCAAAGCTGGGTGACGTGGGGAAGTGCTTTGCAGACAGGGTCAGGGCATTCTAGAAGCACAAGTTTCGGGTCACTTTTTATTTCTATTTATTTATTTATTTTTACGATTTTGCCTATTTAAATCAATTTACCATCTCACAGCAGAGTGAGCACATATGCAGGATTTCTGTGTGCAAAAGTGCATTTGCTGGTGTCTAGGCGGCGATCTGCTGCAGCAGCCTAAGATGAAGCTGTGCCAGCATTTCTAACCACAGACCCCTGTTTTCTGGGGTTTACAACCTTGCTGTCAGGAAATTGCTGTGGGAGAAATTTGAAGTATGTCAGTTCAGTCCCAAAGCAATTTTTTATTCAAATTTCATTTTTAAAAATAGAGATTAGTTATTTTTATGTTATACAAATCTATTTAGGGAGAAAAATATGCCTAAGTTAGTAATGTGTAATGCAAAGTTGGGCTTCTTGAGAAATAAAATGCAGTGTGTTTGGGAAGATTTGTTGGTAATCATTGCTCTTTGCTGTTTGAAGAGTCAGTCCCACCTTTACTTTTCATACATGAGTAAAGTCAGTCTTTCTTGCCCTTGGAGTCTGCTCTAGCTATTGCCACAAGACATAGCATTCTCATCAGTGAGGATTACTCATGGTAGTAACCACTGTGTGTTCTCAGGTGTGAGATACCAAATTTAATAATAAATAGTCCCGATTTTGCAAATGTTTAGGCACACATAGTAATTGCCCTCAGTGGACCTAATCAAATTATAATTTTAAGCAGGTGCTTTGGATCTTTTCAGGATCTAAGATCTTTCTATCTGTGATGAGTTTCAGAATTTTATTATGTATTTTTAATATGCAGAGTATTCATGTAAAACATTTTCCTAAGAGTTATCAGGTGCATAATAGTAGAAACACATTCAGTATCTATTTATCTTAACAAATTCAAAAGGTAACCCAAAGGTTAAATATAGTGCACATGGTTCCCATAGGAATGTATGATCTGTGCTGTTACTTCTAGTGAATATCCATCTGTTATCTTTCTGTAACAGGCCTGTTCTTTCCTTTACAAATCCAAATGCAAAATAAACAGCTCAACTTACTCCAAGTCTATGTGAATTACACTCTAAAGCTGAGACAAGGAGCCTCACACTACTCACAGGTTCCTCATTGCATGCAGCAGTCCCTCCAGACAGTTATATCCCACTGGGATAATTCAGGCATTAGCAGGAGAAGAATCAGGCCCAGTGTGATTTTTTATTTTTGAAGTGCTCTTGGTTATTTGTACAAATACACTCTAGTGCCAACTGTTTAATCTGGTGATTTAAACCTTAACCCAAGGACAAGATGGGTCCACTTCAAAGCATGAACCAGAGTTCATGAGGCCTGAGCCAAAACTCACTGAAGTTAAAAGGGTCAGGGACAGGTTTGCTTGTGTCCTTGGCAGTGAATGGATCACACTGGCAACAATAGGTTTCTGTGGAAGGCACCCACTTTATCCCAGAAAGAGCAGCATATGCATACCAGAGGGAAGAGTTGACCATGTATCTACTTATTTGTGCAGACACCTGTATGTCTAAATGCATATGACACACACCTGTGTTACCTCTCTCATGTGTATGTATATTACATACGATATGTATATTCAGAGTATGTCACATATATTTGCTTATAAGTATATATAGAATTACATATGGTATGTAATGTATATTACATATACGTACACCATAACTTTTTTTGTGCATATGTTTTCAAAGACAGAGGTGACTGGAAGTTTTTTAAGGACTTCTAAAATATGGAAAAAGTTTTGGAATGAGAAAAGTCCGTGTGGAAATCTTAAATTAACGTGTACATGACTTCCCATTGCATTCCTGTAATTTTGTAGTTCTCTGTTCAATCATTAAATATCAAGCAGCAAAATAACTAGATGGTTGTTCATATTTTCATAATGCTGACATTTTATTAAGTGAAAGATCACAATAATGAGTGATATACAGAAATAGTGAGTTTTGATATACGTATATATAAAACTAAGTGTATATGCAATATAGAGATCAAATTCTTCACGATTTTTGCATTAGGGGATCGCTGAACAATATGTCCAGTTAGATTAAGTTTTTATGATATTGCTGATGGAAAATAAATTTGTTAGTATTTATAATAAAGGAGGAAATGAAGCCTATGATTTGAAACAGGTGAATGCTGATTAACTAAAGCCCTGTGATGATGTTTTATAATATGACTAAAATAAAGAGCTGTAGTAAACTGGCAGGTCCGATCATCATTGCCTATCTGAAGATCCACGGGAGGTAACACACTGCTGTATGTGGGACAACTTTCTACTCCTCTGCTTTTTACACTGACAGGAAAATTTGTGTCCCACTGGATACTGAGAAAATGAATATGATCCCAAAACAACCAATAGCAACAGATGAAGACCTACTGACTCCATGGGAAGGGGATGCTCTGTGAGACAGTGACATTTTTGCACTGCATTTCAGAAGCAGTTCTGGCCCCAGGGAAATGATACAGCAGATTTTTAATTATTTTTTTCCCCCCCTTTTCCAGCACTTATTCACAAAAAAAGCCTTGTTCCCATATTCCTCCCTACTTCCCACCTGCACTTTGGGGTGTGTTTTGGGGTTGTTTTTTTTTTTAGTAGTCATGTTCCTATGGCATGGGTTACATGTAATTTTATAATTTATTACTGTGGCTGCAGCAGTGAAAGATGATGGAGCCTTCTGCTTACCATGGAGGCAAGACTGTCCCCATAGTGACCTCTGCTACATAGATGCTTGCTAGTATTTCACCATCACACTTCAGCATTGACACACCTCACTGAGCGTATGCATTTGAGACTCTGCATTTAAAGCAGAGGTTAGCCCATAAATCATGAGAGTTACTGTACCTTTCAACCATGTCGGGATGAAAAATAGAATATTAGTGGATTTCCATATAATTTTTACACACATTTACAGAAAGATGCCTGCCACCTGCAAACTTACAGTGCAATCACCACGTTTGCAGATGGCAGGTCAGAGATTATAGCAGAATTTAGGCCTTAGTTCCTCATGGGCCTGAATATCTGCTGCTGATGGAACCTGTGATGCAGCTCAGAACCAACTTGGTGCTTGCACTAAGACTTGTCGTCTTGCACCTCAGGTTACTTCCTATGTAGTGTATTGCATGACTTCTTCAGTAAGAAGTGCCACTAACTCTGATTCAGGGATGGTTTTTACACTGGACAGCTGCTGAACAAGGTGTATGAGCATCAGAAAAAACATTTCTATGTCAGCAGCAAAGCGTGCTGACACCTAAGCACAAAACAGATGAAGGTGGTGAGGCCTATTCATACATTAGACACCTAACTCAGGTTCTCCTGACTTGCTTCCTCCTTCCTGTTGACTAAGGCTTTTTTTATATTCTTAACATTAAGCTGCCCTTTATTGCAGTGAAATCAGATAGTTGTGCAAGGGTGGGGGTTTTTTTTGAGGATTTGTTTTGCCTTTTTTTTCCTCATAGTCAAAAACCTGCTTTCATCAGCAGTTACTCTGAGCAATTGCTCCCAGCTCACCAGAGTGCAGCCTGCATATGCATTGATCAAGTCCTTCTCTGGTTATTTACATTGTTAATAAATTAAACTGAGATGCAGAACACACCCTAGAAAGCCACAGCTGGTGTGGAACTCCCACAGCATGTCAATAAAACAACATCAACCAAAAAAATCCTCAATAAAACTCTGACTATGTGGGTCACCTGTCCCAGTTTCAAAACAGTCTTTTGAGTTGGCTGAAGTCTGCTCAAAATCTTGTTGGCATTCATAAATACTTGTGTTGGTGAAGGAAAAGTAACGCCTTCAGTATCTTTTATAAGGGTTATCTGCCATTTTGGGGGCATTTAAAGTTTTATTCTGAGAAGATATGCAGTAAGAGTTTATAGCACAGAGAGTTTGTCTTTAGATCCAAAAAGAAAAGTCTGCCAAGCTCATCTCTAAAGACTGTAAATGAGAGAGATGTGGAATAGGTTAAGAGGTATCCAGCCCCTCCTCTGGAAAAACTCCTGCCCACCCCGTCAGCTGATGTTTACTTGTAGGGAACATTAGTCAACAGTAAAGGCAACACAAACCCACAGTGGGTATCTTCAGTAGAAGGCAAAACTTTTATTAAATGAACCAGATGTCACAAGTTAACATTTGCAGCTGTCTGAGAGATGGGGAATTCTATGTATAGGAGCATTAGAAGAATATTCAAATTTGTCGCAGATAATGTGGAAAGCCTGACAGCTGCTTTAATAATAATAATAACAATAATAATAACTTTCAACTTATTCCAATCATGAAAATCAGTTGCACAGGATGTGCCTATTACTTGTTGCCCTGGAGCACCCTATGGGTCATTGTGCCAAAGGTGAGCCTACATCAGACAGAATTGCCATCAAAGTATCAATCTGTTCCATAC